GGGCATTGCCGGCGGGGGAAGGGGCGAGGGGGCGCGGCAGCCGGAGGGGACAAGGGAGGCGGCCTGCGTGGCGGCGGGATGGGGAGCGAGGGGCGAGGCACGGGGGGCACGGGGAAACCCTGCAAGGGGCCAAATCGAGCGCCGGGACGGGCCAGACCGCGCCGGGGGGCGCTGCTGGGCCACACCACGCGCGGCCGGGCTGGACGGCCGGCCCACGCAGCGGTCAGTGGCCCGCATCCCACCTAGGGGTCCAGCAACTGACAACCCGAAGGAAGGCCCGACTGGTTGGGCCCTAGGGAGGCCCAGCAGCAGCGCAGCCCGAAACGACCGGCCCGGGGCAACGAACCGGGGCACGAGGGTTTCCCCAGGCGCCGCCGCGGAGGTCGCCGCCGGGGCAGGACGGGGGCGGCGCGGCCAGGGCACGGCATGCCGGCCGGCCGGAGACAGGGAGGGAGCAACCCCGAAGGAGGAAATGAACGGGCGAAAGAGGGCTCTCCGGACAAGGATGCCCGAGAGTGCGAGCGCCGCCGCCGGCGACTAGCCGGCCGGAGCAGAGGCGGATGCCGCCAACGCGGGGGACCGCCAGGAGTCGAGCGCAGCACCGCGGTCGGCGCGGCCGGCGACGCACCAGCCGCCAGCATGACGCCGCCGAGGAGGGGGCCGAGACCCCAAGGCGTCCCCTTTCGACCCAGGAGACGGCAGCGCGCCCGACGGCCGCCGGTGGCGCCGATCGGTCCCGCGGGAGGCCGAACTCCCACCCCTGGGAGTCGGGCCGCCGGCAGGGACGGATGGAGGTGGCCGGACCGGAGCGCGGGGCGGGATGCGGTCGCGGCAGGCGATGGGGCGGCCCGCAGCCACATCGGCAGCTTCGGCGAGGTCCGCCCAGGACTCGCGCGGAGGAACAGCCGGAGGAGACGGCGGGGAATCGGGCGAGGGGGGCGCCGGCAAGCCGGCCGCGGGCGAGGCCAGGGGCGAGGGCTGCAGCGGCGGCGCCACCGAGGCGACCAGGGCGTCGCCAGAACCAGCGCACGCGAGAGCCATCTTTCCTTCCTTTTTCAGACCATAGCACTAGTTCGGACGACACATTTTGAAATCACTGTCGGTCGATTGCCTCCATGGGATGTGCGCCACTATTGTAGAAATGAATTGTGATGTCTGAATACCAGACCAATGCGGATAGCATAGTAGTGTGTGCATGTCCGACAGCATAGAATAAAGTGCGCCTGGTACACCAAAGTACAAAAATGGTGGTTGTGGAATTAACTCGGCTGCGGGCCGCTTTATCTTTCCCCACTAGTCCAGCTAGTTCTGCGAGTTTGTACCCAGTTCCATAAACCGCGGCCACTTCTGATTTCTAAAATATCATGACTGGAAGCAGAAATGCATGACACGTACTCATTTGTGGTCGTGCTTGTAGAAGTGCTTGCCTGGATTGGTGCTTGTGCGGGATACTCACCACTGAGCCATTGTTGCAGAATGGGTAAACCATGAGTCGCAGAGGTGGCTGCTCCTCTAGTGCAACCAGCGGAGGGCTTGACATGGGAGCGCTCGAGCTGGACATGGCAATTAGAACCATGTAAGAATGGGATAGATTGACATGGCAATTAGAACCATGTAAGAATGGGATAGATTGTAGTTGAGAAAGATATGAGCTGAGAATCAAAAGACTTTGGGAAAAAAATGGTGTGCTGTAGAAGATGGACACTTTTATGAACAGGCTGTACGAGGAAAACGACCGTTGGCTTGACCAACGTTAGGGATGGAAATGATGACAACGGTCGTCTTCCTCGTACAGCCTGTTCATAAAAGTTTTTAAAAAGAAATGATGAGCTTGCGCATTTAATTATAACGGGTTGTTGGGAAGTGGTGGTTGACACTGGGTCCATCTCATTTGGACAGAAACTACATGCGTCTGGGACATAACGCGTGCATTGTGTTGCACCAGACCCGCACATAAGGGTGTGCGAGCTGTGCGATCGCACAGGACACCCCAAATCGTAGGGCCCCCGATCCCAGGAAAAGACTATGAAATATCCAGTTCATGCGCTCGTTGGCCTGCTTTTTCTGCTGGCTCGCTCGGTTTTATCGGAAGAAACCCGCAGACGGATGCGCAAGTAGCGGAACGCACGTTACACAGAGGCCTCTCATAGTCTCATTCCACTAATACCCAGCCAACACGCCCCATTCGGCCCTGTTTGTAAATGATTAGGTAGAAAAAAAAGACAGGTTACTTAGGCCTTCTTGCTACAGCCGAGCGTGTTTATGTGTCATGTCCATGGATCTAAAAAAAGGTGTCATGTCCATGACTTCTCAGGCGATCTTTCTCTCTGAAAAAAACAACTTCATGATCGAGAATAGGGAGGCACCGCCTAGTTGCTTCTACGAGGGGACACCGCCGATAGATGCGGTCGCCCGCAGCGAGTCCGCTGTGCGTCCGGTCGTCGCCGCCTGTTTTTCTACTGCGTCAGCTACGAACCAGAATATATTTCCAAGCCAAGTCGTAAGCCATAAGTCTTGAACCGAAATAATGTGTTGGTGTAGGTGTTGAGTTGGGCAGGACGAGTAGTGTGTCGGTGTTGTCATGGTGGATGGGGATGCTAACCTTTTGGTGTAGCATTGTGCCAAAAGGCGTTGTATCGGTCATCTTAGCCTCTTCTTCTATGAATATATGATACGCATGCTCGTGCGTATTCGAGAAAAAAGTCTTGAACCGAAATAGATGAACGAAAAAACAGTTAGGTTATGCTTCTACGAGGGGACACCGCCGATAGATGCGGTCGCCCGCAGCGAGTCCGCTGTGCGTCCGGTCGTCGCCGCCTGTTTTTCTACTGCAGCAGCTACGAACCAGAATATATTTCCAAGGCAAGTCGTAAGCCATAAGTCTTGAACCGAAATAGATGAATGAAAAAACAGTTAGGTTATGGTTATTTTGATGATTTTCTGATACAATTGTTCTCTGTCTGGTTATTTTGACGATTTCCTACCATATTGATGCAATCTTTACTAGTACAACAATCGATTAGGCATGTACTCAATGTTAATCAAAACTAATAGGATAATCAAACTACTAGATTTTTCTTTTGTGAAAATAGACTCAATGGATTTAATGTTTTATCTAAAGAAATAGTAGACGAATGATACTTTTCAGTAGAACACGCGTTCAGTTTACTGTTTTAGTACAATTCGTAAAAGAAAAGTTTATTGTTTCAGTACTACTATGTTACCCTTTAGCGTTACTACATGAAATATTTCCAAATGTTGTAGTATGAAATAACACATATTCAAAGCTATATAATTAATTAGCAATATATCTAATTATATTACTTATACATTTCTTTTGCAAATATATGGGCCTCATTTTTCATTTCGCACGGGGGCCCCGAATTTCTAGAGACGGCCTTGTGTTGCGCAGTGGGAAAGTTAATACGATTCTGAAAAGCTAAGAATACAATGTTGCTATTATAGTGGGTTCAGATCCCAATGCGACTGGATGCGCAGGATTCCAGAGCGCGTTGTCACCGTGTGCTCCTATGCAATTTCGGACCTTGTAGTCCTTAGAATAACGATTTCTGACGTACGATTCTAGGATTTCAATCCTATCTATACCAAAATGATCCTATCAACCATGCTTGGTGGTGTGTACAATTAACCTTCATTTTACCCTGCCTTGGACTAACTAATGAAGCTAGTCATATTCCACTTGCTGTACTTGTACCTGCCAATATCCTGTTAACCTTCATATTACACTTGCTGCATGTACTTGTACCTGCTAATATCTAACACGACATGCAGTGAAATTTTGTTCTTTTTATCTCATGCCCTGTCATTAGTTTCTTTGATGGTGAAAGGGAAATCAAAGGATCTCATAGCAGTATATTATCTTGACCAAAATGGGAAAGCATATCATATAAAATCCATCCATTATATGGTAGTAGTACATATGAGTAACATACAGCTATATATGAGGTAGATATAAAAGGAGTTTGGGCGGTTGGCTTGGAGGTTTATAAATACCAGGACAGCCATACACTGCTGTATATAGGCAGAACTTTGGGCTATCACCTTTTTTTTGAAGTACATAAGTAAGCAAATAGTAAAGCACCAGTTCGACGATTATTTTTAGTACGTACACAGGAGCAGGATTGTAGGATCGATCAGTTGTTCTTAACAACCCGTGCTGCCCTCTCCATGAGGACCACTGGTTTTGGTCCGGCGCAGTTGGCCTTCTCATTCTCCTTCTCTGGGATGTGGAAAGCTGATGCAGGGAAGATCTTAGAAAAGCCGGCAATGCTCTTGCAGATGAGCTTACCGGTCGCTGGTTCGTCGAGGGAGATCTCCTCCACAGGGAGCCACACCATGAGCTCCCTGGTCTTTATCCCTTTGACCTTCCTGATCCTGCCCTTCTCTGCGAAGGCAGTGATCTCAGTGCCATAAGACACCACCCTTCCCAGGCTCTGGAAGACGTGGTCTATCCTCTTCTTTTGTTTGAGCCACACATACCCAGTCTCCTCGACATAGCCGCACTCCACGATGTCCTTCAGGGGAAGCAGGCCGTTGGGGAGGCCTGCTTCCTTGAGCAGGAGCCTGGTGCACTGCTTGCAAATCTCATCGTCGTAGTACACCTCGGCCTTGGCCTTGAGCTCGTCATCAACAAGAGCCATTGTCTGACTCGAGGGTGAATGATGTATCTTTTTGAGGCTTAGATGTGTATGGTTTTGTGCTTCGTAGTGGAAATGGCCACCTTTATGTAGGACATGTCTTGTGCAATTGTGCCTTATCTTGCATGAATTTTTCCTTCTTGCCACTATCATTCAATGCATTGCAGTGTACCATGCTCATGAAAGCCGTAGGGGTCCTCTTCTTCTTCTTTTCGAAAAGGAGGCTAGTAGGGGTCCTCTTCTGGCGGTGAACTATTGCAAGGATGCAAAATATCATCTATTCTTGTATCATACAGAAACATGACACTCAGAATGGATGTTTGTAGTATTAAGTTGATCCAACGGTTATTATGCGTTAGTTTCCATTTTCCTTGTAGTTTAATTTGGGAACAATAGTCTTATCCAGTGCTAGCATTTAGTCTTCCTATTGCTAAGGACAATAGTCTTGATCAAATTCCCAAGCTTGATCTGAGTAATATACAATACCGTTTTGGACAGGGATCAGGTGACTTGCCTTCAGGCAGTCACGCTGTAACATGCGGACACACATCCAGCGTCCATTACACATTCAACGGCCATTAGCAATCAATGTGAAAAAAGCTCCAGATCTAGCACACGCACACGTGGAGACGCCCACACTTGTAGCAAATAGATTTTTAGAAGTACTAGTAATTAAGAGCAGATTTTAGTAGGACCGTTCACAAAAAATATATCTGATAGAAACAACTGGACTGATTATGCATGAACATTAAAAAAAAAACTGAACATTTTTTTTTTTTGAAATTCTATAACCAGATCAAGAACCAAAGTCCGGCCACTAAGCAGTATTTTAGACATTTTGTACATCTGATCTGGTGTATGAGTAAGGGCAACTCTAACCGACCGATCCAAACGAAGACATCAAAGTTTGCTTTGTCCGTCCGTCTATCGGTACACCCAACGCGCCGGGATGCATTTCAGATTGTGGACATTTTTTGAATTAAAAATATATATACATTGCCACCAAAAGTCCCTTTATTACATTGATTAAAATAAAAAAATCATAATAAAACCTATATCTAGTGGCCATCACCAGGCGTACGCTGCCATGCTACTCTAGTCGTGTGTTGCTCTGCAACTCCTGGCGCCCATGTCGGGAATGCCGCACCTCGTCCTGGCGCCGGTGTCGGGAACACCACACGAGAGCAGCCCCCGGCTGCTTTGTGCCGGGAATGTATCTGGTGCACCGGGGCAATTGATGCTACCAGCGCACCGGTCCCCCGTTCCACATTCTAAAATGTTCAAAAAAATTGGTGCATTGACACAATATCAATGTATGTTTCCATAAAAAAATTAATCAAAATTTGAAACATTGCTCGAGATAAAAAATGACAAATTGCCCCGGTGCACCAGATACGTTTCCGCTTTGTGCCGGCGTGCACAACTAATGCTGCTCCTTCCCCAGCGGCGTGGCCGAGGCATCCGATCCCACCCGACGGGGAGCTGTTATATCGGTGGCGTCTCGGAGTAGTAGCTGGCTAGCGAGTAGCTGCGGGGGGAGTCGCTGCACCGGCGACGTGGCCGGGGCGATACCGTGGCTGCTACTGGCGAGGTGTGCCGCGTGGTGAGAAAGAAAAAATAAATAAAAAGATGGATGGGTGGATGGCAGCTAGACCAGGCGGGGCATGCAGCTGACGGAGGTGGACGAAGAAAACGCAGAAAACGTTCGCTTTGTGTCCGTCTCCAACCCAAATCTGAGTCAAATTTGGGACGAAAATTTGTCCGAACACCTGACACTGTGTTTTGCTTTGGTCTATCCATCTTTTCCGCGCGGACACACAGACGGATTGCCTCGCTGTGTTGGAGTTGCTCTTAATGCATAGCTACTGTTTTTTTAGAGAAATGCATAGCTGCTGTTGGATGTACATGAAAACTACAAGTGTGGGCGTCTCCGTGTGTGCGTGTGCTAGATCTGGAGCTTTTTTTCACTTTGATTGTTGATGGCCGTTGGATGTGTGCCCGCATGTTACAGCGTGAAGGCAGTCACCTGATCCCCGTCCTACAGTTTTATCCTGGCACTTGGGACCTCCTTGCTGCTCTAACTGTGAGCTGCCACCCTCCACTACCCAACACCTGACACTGACAGATTCGCCTTACTCAGCACATGGAGGACATTCAATGTTGTAACATGCATGTAGTAAGACGGAGGCGTGACCTTCAATGAGTTCATGGGTAATCTGATGAGTCTGAGGACAGGGGGCATTTAGTTTCCTAACCTAACATTGCGGCAGAGAGACAATCTTGAGCAGTCCCGAGTTGACTTGGTCTCGCGGTGGAGCTTGAGACTGCTCATAGTTGGGAGTAACATAGAGTAGTAACTTGCCGATGTTATTAGTCTATGTTATTATCTTCATAATGGGTAGTAACATATAAGTGATATCATGAAAAGTTCATTTATTAGGCTATAGACTCATTATGCATTGAAATGTTTGATGTTACAGTAACTAGCTAAGTTACCACAAACCCCTTTCTCTTCATTAATTAGCTGTCACATAAGCAATTTTGTATTGAAATGTGTGATGTTATTAGTTGACTTACTTTTATTGTGACTAGTCTGAGGGCATTATCTTTTGCTAGTACACCAGCACTATGTTAGATAACCTAGTAGTACAATGTAACTGTTTGTCACTCCAAATGACTGGCCGTCTCTTTTTAGCTCTGGAATCTTTATGTCCATTGGTCATTTATAGTATGAAGATACCTTGAGATTCTCTCTTTAGATAATGGAAGAATCACCCTCCCAGCAACTACATCATGTGATGCTGACAGCCAAATTTTGTTGGAGATATCGTGAGGTATATGGTTTAAGGCCCATGAGTACTTCTCTTTTGAGATATAGTAATACGTAGTACATGGTTTCTAGAAGTATTATTAGCATTGGTAAAATCGGTGCCCCCAGTCCAGAACTAGTAGGCAGGACATTATTGTCGCCATGGTCCTGCATTTGCGTTGTTTCTTCCCTGAGCAATACGGTGTTTAAGGCCCTACGTTGGCCCATTAATCTCGAGGTTATGGGCGCAGACAGTTACATGAGCAGCCACGATGTTCCAGCAGCCGGCAATTTTTCTGTTGGATGGTGCCCATGCACACAGATCTGTGTTTAGGAGAGATGCATATGAAAAGAAAAGAAAAAAGGTGGCGGCATGCATGTGCTTACTTATTTGCCTCCATGCATGGTCCCTAAGGAAATGAAATATTTGCCTTCATGGCGCCCGCTAGCCGGGCTCCGGCTCTCATTATGTAACTGCACAAGTAGGTAGTGCAGTAGTACTGCTCTACAGTATTGTTCTTGTTTCCTGCCAGGGTTTCACTGGTGATTGGTAAAAGATAATGGCGGGCTTCATATAACAAGGCGCAGTATGTATGTATGTATGTCTCCTGTAATTATTTCAGTTACTTGCACCACATGGAATGATCATACCTAGGAGAGGATGAGCAAAGTTGGAGATATTTGGATAGAATAGGCATTGAAACTGCATTTTACCTTAACAACTTAACTTGTGGTTGCGGAAGTTAAAACTAGCTAAGAGCAAAGCTTTGCTACACGCACGGAGAGATTTCACGGACGTTTACAGGGTGAGCTGATGTGGAAAGGTGTGATTGGGAAGAAGAGGTGAAGCGGGCCCCACCCCCCATGAAAATTGGGGGGAGGGGGGAGGAGATTAACAGTAAGATGGAAGGAGTCTGTTGTAGCCCCGTAAAGATCCGTGCGTGTAGTATTTTCGCTAAGAGCATCTCCAACGGATCCTTGTTTCCCCATAAATGCCCTGCCGGACAAAAACCAACCATCTGAGAGGATAGTCGAGCTCCCTGTCGGAGCTGACCTGCTGCGGATCCACTAGCCGGGCGCCTTCTCCACCACTCCGGATCATATCCAGCAGTGGCAATGGAAGTGCATGTGTTAAAATCTACGTTGTATGCTTTTGTATATAGATTTAAGGGGGATGCAGATTGTTGACACACGAACACGTCACGTGTACCCTCGACGCCGGGGGTGATGCACCACAGCTCACGTTGAAGGAGAGCCGACCGACAGCCTGATACGCAAGACAGTCAGCAGGCGCTTTTGAAGACCCAAAACCCCACACCCCCGGGAGGGACCCCGTCAGAGAGTGCGGTGGCTATGGGCTGCCCTAGGTCGATTCGCTCGCCCCTAGAGCCTCGTGGATCGCTGCCCTCCAACGCGAAGAACGAACGAATAACGAGAAAGAAAGATACAAGGGTAGGGGATAAAGATAGATGAACACAAAAGTGTAATAGATTGATTGGTTCGATTGGTGTTGTTGAATCGGCCATCACCCCCAACATATATAAGAGGCGGCTGGACTTCCCGTACAAGCAAAGGATTCATCTAGGCTTTCCTTACAAAAAATTACATCAATTCACGTCTTAGAGTCCTAGTTCTATTCCAACTCGGATTCAGTCTGAATCTGGCCCAACTTCTGTCTTCTTCCTTGCGCGGGCCGCCGAGCTTGCATATGACCTCCGATCAAGATGGCCCAAATATGAAAATTGTGCGCCTCGACGAGACGAACAATCCTTATGTTTAACACTTTTCCAAATAAGACCATCTTGAATATTCTATGAAGCCATCTTTAATATCCAGTCGGACTCGGTCATGTAACGGACTAGATTGTCCGAGTCTCGTAGTGAACTTACAGGCCGTATACTATCTCATATGATAATGACTCTAAAACCAAAGTTCACCATTTTAACGATGCGCACAACTTTCGTGTTGATCACTTTTCCATCCAAGGTCATCTGGATTACCTTTCGGGCACATCTTTAGTTTCACTCGGATCCGAGCCCATCCACTCGGATATTAGAGTTTTTCGTCCGACTGGACCTTTTCACTCGGATGTTAGAGTCTTTCACTCGGAAGACAATCTTTCACTCGGAGGACTATAATTTCACTCGGAAGACAATCTTTCACTCGGATGACTATATTTCGCTCGAAAGGCAATATCTTACTCGAACGTCAAGTTTTCATTCCGATGGTAATCTTTTCACTCAGAATAACTTCACTCGGATGATAATTTCACTTGGATTACTATATTTTCACTCGGAAGCCAATATTTTACTCAATCGATAAGTTTTTCACTCGACCTTTTACT